AGCACCAGGGGACCCGGTCCAAAGACTGGTCGGTGAATCCTCTGGCCGAGAGACACGTGGCCAGAGGTTCAGCTGGTGAGCGGCGTACCGAACCGCGTAGGGCCACAGAAAATGGGGCGCACGGGCGTGGATCATGGAGGTGCGTGCAATCTCCATGACCAAGCCTATGCGGCGCTCAGCAACCCCATTCTGCTGTGGGGACTCTGGAAGCGTCCAGGACTGACGGATGCCCTGCTCGCGACAGAATCCAGCGAGAATGCCGGAGCGAAACTCACCCCCGCGGTCGGAGTGAAGACAGCTGACACGACGACCACGAGTGTAGTCATCAACGACCACCAAAAAGAAACTCTCTCGCTCAGGGCCAGGGCGAGGGGCGGGGCCCCGGACGTCCAAGTGGAGAGTCTTGAAGGGCTCGGTGGCCGGACGAAGGGAGGAGGAGTGAGGGGTGGCGCGCAGCCGACCCTCGACGCAAGGGGCGCAGGGTGTTGCAGGCGAAAGCGGTAGCGACGGCAAGACTCGCGGGAGGCCTACGACGAGACGCTGACTAGACATAGTGCGCAGGCGAGGAATGGACGGGTGCCCAATGCGGTGGTTCCACAGAACGGTGGGGTGGGCAAGCGACCGACACGAGCAAGACGCAGCAACCAGACCAGACGCTGGAACCAGACCAGACACAGCTACCTGGTGGGAGGCGGCAACCTAGTGAGACGCGGGGACCTGACAGGGGGCAGTGATAGGGGTCGGAGGCAGCTGCTGCTGCTGCTGCCTTCGGGGGCCAGTATGAAGTGTGTAGAGATCAGAGCCCGGCTCAACGGTAAAGGTGGCCAGAGGCGCGTACGAGTTCCCGTCAACACACACCGCAGTCTCGCCAAAAGGCTCAATCCACACACACACGTGACTACTCACGAGCGGCCTCACACCCACCAAGTTCCTGGAGAACGAGGGAACGTGGAAGCCCGTCAGGAAACCCGAGGGAACTACCGGGCACGGAAGCGTAGTAGTGTAGCGAGCAGTGACTGGTCCCGAAGTGGGATCAGCCAGTGTCACAGAGACCGGCGCAGGAAGCGGAGTAAGCGTCGTGTGGTCGCGGAAGAAACAGTGCGAAGCTCCGGAGTCCAGAGTGAAAGACAGCGAAGTGTCCTCCGGAGCAGCTCCTGGACTAGTCTCTGCACAAGTACCTACGCTAGCAACAGGCACCTCTGCAACACTAGCACCTAAGCTAACAACACTCGAGTAAACAGAGTCAGAAGCACTAGAGTCAACAACAGCATACATAGCATGAGGAGTTCCTAAGAGATCAAGCAACTAAGAAGCCGACATGCCCCACAGAGCGGGGCCGTTACGTCTGAACAAGGGGAAGTCAGTCAGGGGCAGGGCCGTCAACGCCGTAGGCCGCACGAAGTGTGTCAGTGAGCTGAGCAAAGCACTGACCCGGTGGGTGGGTGCGGCCACAGGGGAGGCCTCGGCGAGCACCTGTCTGAACGAGATAGGTGCAGGGAGGGTGGACGGCACCACGCGACAGCTGACGCGGTCCTGGCCCCTGCCCCGGAGCCTGCTGCTGCTGCTGCTGTGGCTGCTGCAAGAGGAGGGGCTGCTCCTGCTGTTGCTGCTGTCCCTGAGTCAGGTACCAAGCTGCCACTCCAGCACCTGCAGCTGGCGGACCAGCAGGTGCCTGACGAACCCGAGTGTCACCTCCACCAGCTGCAGTAGAGGAGCCACTAGCCGCTGCACGAGGCGCTCCTCCAGCCTCCGTACTCCCGCCACCGCCGCTCGCCACGCCACCTCCGCCGCCTCCGCCCGCACCCTGACCGCCCCTCCTGCCACTCCTACCCCTAGACCGCGAAGAAGTCGTAACAGCAGCTGCGGTCACGTCAGTAGCGGCAGTGGCGAGGGAGGCAGTAAAGGTGGGAAGCTGAGGGACAGTGCACCCGTGAAACAGTGGAGGGGGCACAGCACCAGAGGCGAAGGCTACAGAGCGGAGGTTGCTCTCGACGTCCTTGAGGGCAGACTCAAGGACCTCGATAGTGAGCTCGCTAGGGTGCTTCAGAAGAAGCGCGTCACGAACCGAGGCAAGGCGGTCAGGGAGACTAGTGGCAATGAAATAGATAGTAATCGCCATAAGGGGAGGGAGCAGTGCAAGTTGCGCGTCAGTGCAGGCAGCGCGGTAGCTAGAATCAAGCGAGCGCAGGTGAGCGATCAAGTCAGCAGAGCGCTCAAACGAGGCGAGGTCAGGAAACAGGAACGGGAGGAAAAGTCGACCAAGAGAGACAGTGGTGGGAGTATCGTAGCGGGCCTTGATCGCAGTCAGGAGCTCACTAGCAGTGGGAACCTGAGTGAAGTGGGCCTCCTCAGACTCAGGGAGGAGGCTGCTAAGGGCGATGCAGGCCGCAGCGTCACGCGACTTCCACGCTGTCAAGTCAGCACGCTGGCGTGCATAACGGTCTCTGTCTGCAGTGCTAGAGTCAGCGCCTAAGGGTGCAGGGGCGGGGGGTGCAGGAAGGTCACCAGAAGCGTGCGTCCACAGAGACTCGTCTGCTTGAACCTGACTCTCTAGGAGGCGGCGCACACGCAGGAGCCAGACCGAGAACTCGAGTGGCCTACCCTCGGCGTCAAAGCGCAGGACCCTAGGGGTCGCCATAGCGGAAGCGAAGAGGTGGGAACTGCTGCTGCCGAAACCCTAAAACGCCTAAAGGGCCTAACTAGGGCGTGACAAGCAGTGGGTGAGGCTCAAGGCACTGCAGGACGGTAGGGTAGGGCGCGACGTGGCGTGCGCAGCAGGCAGGACGGGACGCGCGCGGCTCGGCGCCGCGCGGCTCGGCGCCTCTCGGCAGGCAGAACGGGACGGGCGCGGCATGGCGCTGCGGGACGGGCAAGAAAGGCACACGCGACGGGACAGACGGGACGGGCGCGACGAGCTAGACGGGACGGGATAGACGCGACGCGACGGACCGTACAGACGCGGCGCGACGGGACGACGGGACGGGACGACGGGACGGGACGAGCGCGACGCGACGGGACGGGACGGGACGGGACGACGGGACGGGACGCGACGCGACGCGACGGGACGGGCGCTACGGGCGCTACGGGCGTTACGGGCGCTACGGGCGCTTCGGGCGCTACGGGCGCTACGGGCGCTGCGGGCGCTACGGCCGCTACGGGCGTCGTGCGTGGAAGGCTAGGCGGGCGCAACGGGCGCTAGGGTACGAGACGAACCGGCGCGACAGGCGCTAGGAGATGGTACAGGAGGAACGGGATCCCACAGGATCCTAACCTATCTGATACCATGTCAAGAACGGAATGAATGGTGTTGACTAAGGTTGGTTGGGGTACATAAACCTAACCCCAACTGTTGCACCCCATATGACACACATCACATTACTAAGAGCGTGTTCCTACGGGGCCCTTGTCAAACAACCTCTAGTCAGACTCGCCCCAATCACACATTTCTCAGTGTAAGGCGAATTCGTATTTGACGCTTTTCTAGTCTTGCAAATCTGCGTGAAAAAATCTAGCCTAGGTGATGTGGCTTGGGAACGCGAACAACTTTCCTGTACTGCCCGAACATCGGGGCAAGGGAGCTCAGTTTGAGAAAAAAACGGCAGGTTCCGAATTTCGCATTGTGGCATCCCAGAGAATCGTGAACAAATCGCTGGTGCCACTGTACAAATGTTGCCCGCTGAAAAACAAAACTGTAGCCCCGTTTTCGACAAAACATGACTGTGTCTGCACATGTTCATCGCAGGGTCTCGGTGTGGTTTGCTGATGTGGCGCGATAGAAAGGTTTCACGCGCGCGGATTCTTATCGCGCAATACAAGTCTGAAATTCGATTTTAATAACGAAAATCTCGAGTTTGCACAAATCTGATATGGGGTAGGCCTGACAAGAGGCCGTAGGAACACGCTCTAAGACTATAACATCTGACAGTTTTGTATGATCTTGGGACTTTCTGTATGTTTTTTTCGTAGAAAAACCTACGGGAGCCAAAAAAATGCGTTTGACTTTTCCGCGATGATATTTTCGTTTTTTGCTCCTTCACCCCTACTTCACATTCTGCCTTATTTATATTGCCTCATTTTAAGTTCCCCGTTTGTACCATAAGGAGCAGGAGAAGCAGAGCGGTGAACGCAGTGCTGGGCAGGTTTCGCCTGCTGACGCCAAAGAAATATGCATATGCGGGATTCGATATCCGCATTAATGATGATACACTGCTCATGTACGTAGAAAAAGAAAAGGGCATTCAAGGTTGAGATTCACTTCTCTATGTGCAGCAGGCCCTCAGAAGTCAGGAAAAAAACGCTGATTTGCCCTTGAAAAACTTTTTTTCAGGGTTTTTTTGGGGCCTAAGGCTGATTGGAAAGTGTTTTTTTCCATGTAAGGACTGATTTTTCAGGCAAGTTATTTGTACCAACACTGAAATTTCAGGCAAGTTTCATGTACCAACACTGATTCGAAACAACACTAACGAACCGAGTCCTGTTGCTGAAAATGCGCGAAGTCTTTGGAATTTGCCGAGAAATTCGCCAGTGACTGCGTGGCAACCCGCCAGCATACGGAAGTGAACCCGGAACCGTCCCCTTCCGAGGTCGACATTCTATTGACTGGGCCATTTCAGCCTACATAACGGTCATTAATTCTAAATCACACCTAGAGAAAGTGTTTTTTTGTACCTTAACACTGATTATTCAGGGTTTTTTTTTTACCCAACCCTGACAGAAAGTTTTTTTTCCAGGGACCAACACTGACGAATCAGCGTGCCCCAAAACCAATCTGAGGGCCTGATGTGCAGCCATCACTCATGCGCTTGATACTTACTTATCAACGTTTTTATTACATACAGTTCTTCATTACATATAGGCGGATTATCTCCCCCTCCACGCAAGGAATGCACCCTTTCCGCTTAGCCAGTAAGGATATCTACGGGTGCATAATCATAAACCTATTCAGCATTTTTGCCAATGTATACGAATTGACATGTAGATTGCATGTCATTATCATGTTTTTACCCAACCACGGGAATTGACCGAACAATCCCTTCAGGGTCCACGAAGATGCGAATGCGATCGGTGCGATAATCCGCGGTGACCATCGCCCCAAACGGGATGATTACGGTGTCCCAGTTGCACTGCGGCACAGACGCCTGGATGTAAGCTTGAGCCGCCTCGCCCGTCATGCCCAGCACCTCGGGCCAAGACGTCTTGCTGAAAGGGAGAAGAAAAATGGCCGAATCACAATAATGTCAGACAAATGGAGAAAGCAAAAAACTCTTCCTAAGAATCCAGAGATATAATAGGAAGCAAATGGAACATTTATTTCCACCTCGCTACTACTAACTACTTCCAAAAGTCCTGACGAACCTGCAGTCGAGTTGCCTTGGGGAGCGCAAGCGGCCGATTGCCTGCGACGGAAACTCTCGGGAGGACGCGAGCGGAAGAAGCGAGGCGGAGAGGAGGAGCAGGACCAAGACGGGGAAGAGACGGCGAAGTTCCATTGCTGGCGGAACAGGATAGAGGTGCACCAAACGAGATAAGAAACGGGCTCGTGAATCAGAGCAGCCTATACGTTCAGACAGGAAAATGCTTCTGCTGCTGAAGTTGATATACTTCTCACGAAGCTAGTGTCAAGCTTGACTAATTCAGGCATTCAGGCCCGACTTCCGAATAAGAAGGTGTGGGCTTGGGTGGGATGGGAAGTGAAGGTGTGGTGGAGAGGGGGAGGGACAAGAAGAATCGAGAATCCTTCGGAATGTGGATGTTAGGGTTGAGTATTATCTGGATCCGGTTTTCCCTTTCCGAGGAAGTCGTAAAATCCGCCACACATTGACGAAAATGATGGGTTCGAGATGCGTTACCCTAGGCTTTGGTCGCGCGTGTTCAGTTTTGTTGGCGCTGGATGCGATACCCTGTAAGTTGATCCCTTCCAAGGTCACTAGCTTGATCTTCATATTTGGTCGGCAGCTGCCCAGAGCGAAAAACGAATGCCAGAAGTTGTCACGAAAAAAGTCGGCTGATGAAGCAGTGTGTGCGGGAAAATCGTGGTCAACGGAACTTGGAAGACTGCCAAGTAGGCACGTTATCCAAACCCGCTTCAGATTCGATATAGATTCAGCTGCTAGGACTGTGTAGTGCTACAAACGTTAAATATGAAACAAAAATGAGAGAAACGCACCTCTAACTCTGCAAGAAACGTGGGCATTGACGGGAAAACAGAAACCACTAAGTACCATGTACTGGCTTTACCGCGTGCAAACTCACCCAAGCCCCCTACGCCGATGTGATTCTACCAAGTAGTTGTAGTAGGTCGGAACGTGTTGCTATCAAGTATCGCCATAATCCCTGTTTTGTTCTGCAATGCGGAGAACGGTAATCGCGGCGGCCCGTGCTTGTCGCGACCACACGCGCTGATGCCGAGACGCCGCAGATCCGTCCCATGTTCGCTCTTTCAATCGATTTAGATGCCGCAGATCCGCAATTCTCCTTTGAATTGTCGTTTCAGAGGCTCTCCGCTTCGCGATCTCGCCACGTGTTCGCCCATTCAAACGAACGAGATGCGTCGTCGAATCTTTACCACTGTCCTTGCAGCTGTGACAGTGCTTCGCAATCTCGTCCAAGCCTAGTGTAACACATCACCTAATCCACGATACCGCTAGCATTACGCAATCTCGTCCAAGCCTAGTGTAACACATTACCTAATCCACGATACCGCTAGCATTACGCAATCTCGTCCAAGCCTAGTGTAACACATTACCTAATCCACGATACCGCTAGCATTACGCAATCTCGTCCAAGCCTAGTGTAACACATTACCTAATCCACGATACCGCTAGCATTACGCAATCTCGTCCAAGCCTCAATTCTGTTGATGCCGCTTCAAAGTCGTCGTCGGAGTGAAGCTCTCTCGCACGCACTGTCGCACGCACTGTCGCACGCACTGTCGCACGCAATGTCGCACGCACTGTCGCACGCATTTTCGCACGCACTCTTGCACGCACTCTCGCACGCACTCTCGCACTCACTGTCGCACGCGACATCGTCGCGCGCACCGTCGCACGCAATGTCGCACGCACTGTCGCTAGTCAAGCCATCGTTTGTTACCAGTCCTTCTGTTCGTTTTTTTCCTCGTTATGGACTCGCTCACTATGTGCACAGGTGTTCTTCGCTGTCCAAACTCAAACACGAGGCCAACTCAGCAAAACTGCGTGGGGGAAGCAACGGGGAGAGCAGCGGGGGAAGTAGAGAGGGGGGCAACGGGGAGAGCAGCGGGGGAAGTAGAGAGGGGGGCAACGGGGAGAGGGGGGAAGTAGAGGGGGGAGCAACGGGGAGAGCAGCGGGGGTAACAGCGGGGGGAGCAACGGGGAGAATCGGGGGAAGTAGAGGGGGGATCAACGGGGAGAGCAGCGGGGGAAGTAGAGAGGGGAGCGACGGGGGAGCAGTGGGGGAAGTAGCGGGGGAGCGACGGGGGAGCAGCGGTGGTAACAAGGGGGGGAGCGACGGGGGGAGCACCGCAGGATGGGGGGAGTGATGTGAGTGAAGCGACGGGGGGAGAGATGGGAGCAGGGGGGAGTGTGGGAGAAACCGTGGTAGGGGGAAGAATGGGAGAGAGGGGGCACCGTGGTAGCGGGGGGAGCAACGGGGAGATCTGGGGGGGTAACACGGCGCGAGCGACGTGAGGAGCACCGCAGGATGGGGGGGGTAGTGCTGTCAGTGAAGCGACGGGGGTTGAGATAAAGGAAGCGGGGGCAGGGGTAAGTGGGGGAGAGAGAAACAGGGAAATGGGGGAGAGGGGGAGAAACGGGAGCAGGGGGGAGAGGGGGAGAAAACGGGGGCAAGGGGGAGTGGATGAGAAATGGGGCCAGGGGAAAGTGGGGGAGCGGAGGAAGGGGGATCAATGGGAGAAACGGGGCCAGGAGAAGTGGGGAAGAAAGTGGGGGAGAAACGGTGGAAAGGGGTAGTGGGGGAGAAATGGGGGCAAGGGGGAGTGGGGGAGAAACGAGGGCAAGGGGTAGTGGGGGAGAAACGGGGGCAAGGGGTAGTGGGGGAGAAATGGGGGCAAGGGGTAGTGGGGGAGAAACGGGGGCAAGGGGAAGTGGGGGAGAAACGGGGGCAAGGGGAAGTGGGGGAGAAACGGGGGCAAGGGGAAGTGGGGGAGAAACGGGGGCAAGGGGAAGTGGGGGAGAAACGGGGGCAATGGGAAGTGGGGGAGAAACGGGGGCAAGGGGAAGTGGGGGAGAAACGGGGGCAAGGGGAAGTGGGGGAGAAACGGGGGCAAGGGGTAGTGGGGGAGAAACGGGGGCAAGGGGAAGTGGGGGAGAAACGGGGGCAAGGGGAAGTGGGGGAGAAACGGGGGCAAGGGGTAGTGGGGGAGAAACGGGGGCAAGGGGGAGTGGGGGAGAAACGGGGGCAAGGGGGAGTGGGGGAGAACCGGTTCGGTTTGATTTGCAAGCGGTTACACCTGGTTCGAGTTGAACCGGTTTGAGTTTTTTCATGAATGTTTTTTCATATGTGCTCTTATGCATGTGTCTATGTCGAGCTGTATTTGTAGGGTACATTATGAGTTACCCTGCGTGTACACTCTCAGTCCCCCCTCCCCTCACATTGGTTCCCCTTTTGCAGCAAAGACAGATTTTGAAGAGGCAGCAGCAGCAATTGCAGCAGCAGCAGCATAATGATTCATGGGATTCATGAGCTGAGCAATTGCTGACAGATTCAGAAGAAGAAGCAGCATGCAATTCAACCTTCCCATCGTCCCTCTCGTGCTCCTGCCATCCGCTCAAGTCCTTCCTCACACCATTGGGTTCCTTCCGTCACCTTCATCCGCTTAACTTGTCTCTCACTCCCCCACCTCCGCACGCCAACCCACTCAATCCCTCATTTGACGGTCCCTCACTGCCCTTTTCCATCCGCCCGCTGCCGTTTCCCGTCCCTCATTCCCTCTCCCGCATTCTCCTTCTCCCTCCCCCTTTCGCTCTCTCTCCTTCCCTCATCTTCCTGCTCCCACTACTCTTCCCTCACTCCCCTTCCTTCACTCCTCTTCCCGCATTCTTCCTCTCCCACTCCGTTGCCCTCACTGTCCTTCCCTCGTTCCCCCATTCCCCTTCCCTCACTCTCCTTCCCGCGCTTTCCCATTCCCTTTCCCTCATATTCCCACTCCGCTTCCGTCACTCTGCTCCCCGCATTCTTCCTCTCCCACTCCTTTTCCCTCGCTGTTTTCCCTCATTCTCCCTCTCCCCTCCCCTTCCCTCACTCCCCATCCCGTATTCTCCCATTCCCTTTCCCTCATTTTCCCACTCCCCTTCCGTCACTCTGCTCCCCGCATTTTTCCTCTCCCACTCCTCTGCCCTCACTCTCTTTCCCTCGTTACCTCTGTCAGCCCCCCCAGCTTGCTCGTAACTCTTGTCTCCCTTATGAACCTCCTCATGCACTCTCTTTTCGTGACCTGCCTCACCCCCTTCCCACCTCTGCACGCCAACCTACTCATTTACTCACTTGACCCTCCCTCACTCACTTGACCTTCCCTCACTCACTTGACCTTCCCTCACTCACTTGACCTTCCCTCACTCACTTGACCCTCCCTCACTCACTTGACCTTCCCTCACTCACTTGACCTTCCCTCACTCACTTGACCCTCCCTCACTCACTTGACCTTCCCTCACTCACTTGACCTTCCCTCACTCACTTGACCTTCCCTCACTTACTTCACCTTCCCTCACTCACTTGACCTTCCCTCACTCACTTGACCTTCCCTCACTTGACCTTCCCTCACTCACTTGACCCTCCCTCACTCACTTGACCCTCCCTCACTCACTTGGCCTCCTCATGCACTCTCTTTCCGTAACCTACCCCACCCAGTGTCTCAAATGTTCTTCTCACCTGCCCTTCCCTTTCTTTCTTTGCCTCAACTCTCGTTTCCTCAATCTCCCTAACCTCACTCCCCTCTTACTCGTTCCTTCGTGTACCACTTCTCTCCCGCATCTCACCTCCTCCGCATTCTTACCTCTCACACTCTCAACTTCCTCTCTCCCTCGCGTACTACATTCTGCTCCACTCTTCTCCTCTCACTGCTCCCCATTCATACTGCCACTTCTCTCGCTCACCTTTCCTCGCTTTCCATTCTCACCTCTCACTCTCTCAACTTCCTCACTCCATCATTTGAATGTGTTATGTGTGTCGCGTATTGGTTTGCTGCTAACACACGCGACCCGTGTGGGAGGAGGTGTGCATGAACCAGAAAGTTTCGGTTCGGATGGGGATTGGGCGGGAAGAGGAGGTTTGGAGAGAGGAAATAGCGCATTTGACTCGAGGCGCTTTGCAGAGGGGGGAGGAGGTGTTCGGCATGTGCAGCGGATCAGTACCGGTAATTGCGGGAATATCTTCCAACCAACCCACGACACATTGGGACTCGTTTTTGTAAGGAAAATGCATTTGTAACAAATATTAAATTATACAACTTCAATACCACTACAAGCATATTATTATCATTAATAGCACAATTAGCTAGATCTTATTAGTGAACACACAGCAATGCATTTATAAAAGTGCAAGTCAATGAACGCAATACAATCTGTAAAATACTCCAAACCATGCTTGCTAGGGTGTGTCACTGCTTTCTTTTCATCTGGCCCCTTGGATCCCATGCAGGGCCTATGTTATCAGGATAATTTATCCTGTTTATCCACGATGTCCACCGCCACCTTCGCCATCTGCTTGTACTGTGCTGGAACAGTTTCGCGCCATGCAGCTGCCAGCGACTTGCACTGCCAGCCACTTGCAGCTGCACCCCAGCATTTACACACTTCGTACGAATGTGGAGAGCATTTCTATCCCCACTAACATAACACGCCCGAAACAGGATTGTACGAAATGTAGCACTGAGCTGCCAGGATACTGTCAAATATAGCACTGACATTTCAGGATACCTCACCCTGTGCAGCCCTGACAATTCAGGGCAAATTCTGATTTCCTAAAAACTGCCCTGAGGCCTCAGTGTACCCCCAAACGAATCTGAGGGCCTGATCCCATGTCACCCGCCCCCTTTCACTCTTCCCTCTCCTGTGATTCCCGCATTATTTCCCAACTCACCCGCTTTCCCAAAACTTTTTTCATCCTTCTCGATAGTCAATCCCTTCTCTTCTCCTTCTACTGTCTCTCCCCCTTCTTCCTGGTCTCCCGTACCCTCCTTCCCTGGAGCAGAACCCAAACTCCCTTCTTTCTCCTCCTCCTTCGCCTCCTCCCCACCTCCATCCCCTCCTCCCCCCCACATCATCCCCCGTGCCACGTCCACCAAACCTTCAAACCCCAGCCAACCCGCTTCTCCCGTCCCCTCCTTCCTCTCCTCCCCGACTCCCTCTACCGCACCCCACCAGCCTGCACCCAACCCCCACCCACCTTCCGCACCAAACCCACCAAGGCCAGCAAACCCACCAGTCCCACCTGCCCCAGTCCCGCCCTCCATTAGCTTTTCCAGGCCAATGGGTGGCACAGCCGGGGAATACATTGGGAGGCACAGCTTGGCTTTCAGTTGGCAGGCCATGACAGGCTTGGGGGTGGAGGGGGGGCGCCAGAATTCTCTGGAAGCGGAATACACGGCCACGGCTGCTCGGATCGACTCTCCGGGGGACACTGGCGCAGCCACTGCTGCAGCTGCTGCTGACAGCAGCGAGCTCTCGCTCTTCACTCGCACGCTCCTCCTCCCTAGCCTCTTCTCCTTGCTTCCCTCATCAAATCCCTCTTTGCCAACCCCATTCCCCTCACTCCAAAGCTCGTCCCCCTCATTTTCCTGGCCGTTTCTGCCAGCCATGCCCTGCAGGAGGGCGGTCTCCTGGCGGTGCTCCAGCAGCGCTCGCTCTTGGAAGGAGAGCAGCGAGCGGGAGATGCGCAGCGAGCGAGGGAGCGAGCGCTTGGTCCAGTGGGGCAGGCCGGGCACAAAGAGCCCTTCAGGGGGGGGTGGCGAGGGGGAGGCGGGGCGGGAGGCACGGGGCAGGGAGTGGGAAGAGGTAACACCCATGCTCTCATGCCACCGTCTCAACCGCGACTCAAGCGACTCCTGCCCCTCCTTCCCTCCCTCCCCTTCGTCTGCTGCTTCTTCTGTTGCTTCTTCTGTTGCTGCTGTTTCTTCCGCTTCTCCTGCTGTTACTGCCACTTCTGCTGCTGCATCTGCTGCTGCTGCCGCTTCTGCCGCTGCTGCTAGCAAAGCTTGCGACTGCCCAATGCCGAATGGCAAGCCCTCAATATCAGGGCAGCTGGAGGTGCGGTGGAACCTTCTAGACGCACCCATCCGGGATGCTGCTGGTCTCCTTGACAACTGGGGGGCAGCAGAGGGGGTTTCTCGGCCTGCTGCTGCTCCTGCACCTGCTGCTGCTCCTGCTGCTGCTGCTCCTGCTGTTTCTGCAGCAACAGAGGAATAGTTCGTGATTGCAGCTAATGAATCTGGCCATGCCTCTGCCGCCCCTTCTCCTTCTCCTCCTTCCGCTGTTGCATTCGCATCATCACTGCCTGCAGACCAAACATCAAGTCTCTCTGCAGCAGCCGCCCTACGAGCCCACCCCCGACTACCCAGGTCGGAGGAGAGAATGATAGGAACGGGTGAGACGTCACACACACTCAGGATCCGATCACACACCAAGTTTGCACTGCTCACACTCCCCACGCTCCCCACGCTCCCCACACTGTCTCGGCGCCGCAGGGTCGGAACGAAGGTCGGTTCAAGGGCGCGTTCAAAGGTGCGTTCAGACACGACACTAGCACTCCTGCGGTGTCGCGAGTGCATGCCATCTTGCTTTCCAGGAAAAACGTTGGTACGACCCATGCTCTGGATTCTTGTGCCTACGCTGCTGCTCCTGTGTGCTACCCTGCCATAGCCGCTCCCCATGCTCCCTGCTTCCCCACTGAATGTGTTTTCCCTCGGAGCATTCCATGAGGGATCATCCCCATACACACACTCGGCAAGGGCCTCGTTATAAGCACACCCACCACCGCCATAATCCTCCTCGCTGTCAGAACAACCACCGGAAACATACTCCTCAATATAAGATGATTCGTTTTTGGAGTAGCGTGAGTCACCGGGATGAGAGAAGGTGGTGTAGCTTGAGTCGACCCATGAAATCGAGTCTTCTTCTCCCCCTGTTCCCTTCTGGTGCATGCGAGTGCATTCAACCTCCTCCTCCTCCGCCTCCATAACCGGGTTCTGAGACAGCTCAAAACTGTTCTTTCTAAATCCTGCTGTCCCTGCGACAATAGAAGCAGCAGCAGTGAGAGCAGCATCGGCATCAGCAGCAGCTGCAACAACGAATTTGATATCTCTGCTGCTGCTGCTTCTGCTGCTGCTGCTGCTGCCAAGGGGCCAAAACGAGGTGGTAACTGGGGAAGGGGAGGCATTAGCTGGTGAAGGGGAGGCATCCACAGGGGAAGGGGAGGCATCGACTGGTGAAGGGAAGGGCGGGGTGAGGCAAACGAGGGGCGCCAGCTGCGCTGCTGCTGTAGCTCTCACTGCCTCATAGCCCCCGTGCCCCGACCCCTGCCCTTTAACCACCTCCCGCAATTCCTGCCCTCGTGCTGCCTGCTGCAACTTCTCCTGCAGCTTCAGAGGCAGCTTCAGCTGTAGCAGTGGCTCTTCTCCCACCTCTTCCTGCTGCTCCCGTTCCTGCTGCTGCAGCAGCAACTGCTCTCCCCCAGAAACACTAGCCAGGTCAGCAGCAGCAGTACCACCACCAGCAGCACTAGCCGAATCAGCAACAACGGCAGCAGCAGCAGCAGCAGGCGGTTGCGTGCACCTCTCACCCGATTCCAAGGCAGTAGCTTTTGCTCGTTGCCTTGGCATGAGAGCAGAGGAGCCACTGCCCGTCTCCGGCTTGGAAGGGCGAGCGCCAGGGGAAGGCACCTGCCGCAGATTCTGGGGCAATTTCTGGGGGGGATGGGGCGAGTTGCGCCCCCCCTCAGACGTTCCCTGGCGGGATGGTGAGTCTGCACGGGTCCGTGATCTGCGAGGGACCCTAGGGCTCTTGGGAGGGAGTCGGGGCACCGGCCTGGGTTGAGCATTCTGTTCTTCCCACGCTGATGCTGCTGCTGCCCCCCCTGCTGCTGCTGCCACTGCCGCTGCTTCTCCCCGCAATTCTTGTGACTCATTCGTTTCAAATGCTTCCTGCAGCAGTTGGAGGTCATTGGATGAGCCGAACGCTTGCTGGATGTGACTTGGGCCGTAGGCTAGCTGCAGCATTGTGAGTGATCGGCTCCTCCTGTGCGCTCGAGCAGACGCCTTTTGAGGCGCCTCAAAAGCAGACACGTGATACCCATATTGCATGCTTGAATGGGAGGTTTGGAGGTGAGACGTGTGCGTGGGGGTGAAGGCCCGGGATAACCTCCTGGTGTTGCTGCTGCTGCTGCCGTAGCTGCTGATGCTCAAGCTGTCGCTGCGCCCCACGCTGCTGATATCGCCGCTGCTTCCCCCAGGCATATACACGCTCCTGCTGCTGCTACACACGCTGCCGCTGCAGGCGCTGCTGCCTCGGGGAATGTGGGCGCTCCTGCTGCTGCTGTAGGCGCTGCTACCAGGATAGACGGGAGTAGCGTGCACAGGGATACCATATGCATCTGGGTGTGGAGGTGGAGAGGCAGCATGTGTTGAGTGCTCAAACGAGGCAGCATAGGGCGGGGCAGCATAGGGCGGGGCGGCATAGGGCGGGGCGGCATAGGGCGGGGCGGCATAGGGCGGGGCGGCATAGGACGGGGCAACAGCGGCAGCAGCGTATGGGCTGTGCTGTGGTGAGTCATGCCGGGGTCGCTCGGTGTTGTCAGAAATGGTGCGTTTGAAGCGAGCCAACACGTCGGTGTTGCCGTTGGGAACACCTGGGCTACTGCTCGAATAAAAGGTGTCCTCAGAACAACGAGGCCGGGATCGCTCGGTGTTGTCAGAGAGAGCACGCTTGAAACGGTCCAACACGTCAGTGCTGCTGTCGGTGTTGTCGGAAAGAGGCATGGTGCTGTCAGCGTAAATGTCACCTTGGAGACCATTGGATGAGTACGGGAGGTCGAAGAGTGTCTCTCCGGCATCAGCAAGAGGGCTGTCAAGGTCAACAACAGATTCAGCACCAGCATCAGCAGCAGCACCATTAGGAGCTGCATCAGAGTCAGCATCCGCATCAGCAGCAGCAGCGGCCAGAGAGCTAAACGAACCCACAGAAGCAGACCGAGCAGAATGCAGTCCATTCAGGGAAGGAGAATCTGGGGAAGGCGTGATCTGGCCAGCTGAAGCTTCTGCACACGGACCCGGAATGCTGCTGTTGCTCTGGCTCTGACTCTGCCCTTTCCTCCGGCTCTTCCCAAACAGCTTCAGCACGGCTTTCAGCATCCTTCCCTTGCTGCCGCTCTTCTCACCACCACCATTGTCAACACCTCCCACTGTCTGCTTTGGTGACAAGCTACTGCGGTCAGATCCTTCATTCATTGCGTCCCGTGGGCTTGCAGCAGTAACACCAGCAGCAGCCGCAGCAGCAGCAGCAGTGACGCCACCAGCTGCAGCACCAGCACCAACGGCAGAATTGGGAGTCTTACCCAGCTCCCTTTGCCCCCTTGGGGTGATCAGCCCCAGCTCGCTTCGTGCCCTGGAGGGGGTCTTGGGCACCTCATTGCCTGCTTGGGCTTGGTGGGTCTTGGGCTGCTCGCTCATTGCTGCTGTCGACCTGCGGAAGCCGCTGCTGGCTTCTTCGGCCGTTCTTCTCAACGTTTTTGGCGTCCTCGGCGTGTTGGAAGTGCTGGGTGTTTTGGGCGTGCTGGGTGTTTTGGGCGTTTTGGGCGTGTTGACCGTTTTGGGAGTGGTGGGCGTGTTGGCCGTCTTGAAAGTGTTGGGCGTTTTTGGCGTTTTCGGCGTTTTTGGCTGCTCGACGCATCCCTTTGAAGATCCGGGACAATCAGATCCAGCCCTCGGCGTCTTGGGCTGTACAGCACGCTCCAGATTCCCTGCCCTCGGCGTCTTGGGCAGCCCGACACGCCCTTTCGGTGTAGCAGGCAGAAGATCTGGGCGCGCATCCCCCGACTCTTCTAGCTTCCCAGCCCTCGGCGTCTTGGGCAGCCCGACACGCCCTTTCGGTGTAGCAGGCAGCAAATTCGCGCCCGGCTTTCGATGTGGGATATCAGGAAGCAGATCTGCGCCAAGCCCCCCGGTCTTGCCAGATTTTTCCAGCTTCCCAGCCCTGGCAGGTGGTTTGTGGGACTCCCGTTCGGTGTGAGCAGAGATTGACCGGCGGAAGTCGTACCTCCCTCCTTTCTCGGGCATGGGAGAGGGTACGGGAGAGGGCAGGGAAGGGAGCGAGGGAGAGGCCATAGCAGGAGGAGGTTTCAAGGAAGAGTAAGCGGGATCAGGAGAAGGGGAGGAAATTGCTAGGGGAGGGGTTGAGGGCGAACCGTCGGGGAGAGGAGGGGGGATTAGGACGTGAAGGGTAGTAGATCTAGTCATACGCCGACCGCTGCTGCTGCTGCTGCCTTTGATGCCGATGCTGTTGCTGTTGCTGCTGCTAATGCTGACGCTGCTGCTGCTGCTGCGGATAGCGTTGGGATTTTCAAAACCACGGGCGCCAATGTCGGTGTTGGTCTCGCTGATACTGAGGCTGATGCTGCTGCATGATCGGCCGAAACTTCGTCTCTGCACGGCTGCTTGGCTGGCCTTGGGCACTTGATCCACCGCTTCAAACCCTTCTTGACCCACCACTTGATCACACTCATCAAGGTCGCAAAACACAGACCTTGAGGCCGCTTGTTTGTGCGAGGAGGAGGAGGAGGAGGGCGAGAAGGGCGAGAATGCGCGTGGTTGGCGGCGAGGGGTGAGAGGCGGCAAGGGGGGGAGTGGCAAACGGGAAGGCGTGAGGGGTTGGCGCAGGAACGCAGAGGCGGAGCGAGTCAAGGCGGAGGGGGTGAGGGGCTGAAGCAGGCGGGAAGACGAGGAGCGATGTACGGGGGAGGGAGAGTCTAGTAGCATTCCGGTGGGGATCTCGAGAGCACAAGACGAGGAGGATCGCCAGTGCCTGGTCAACTTCCTGCCCTCCTGCTGCGCATTCCCCTGCTGCTGCGCCTGTTTCCCCTCTTGAGGCGCCTCAGAAGGGATCTCGAGAGCACATGAAGAGGACGACCGCCAGTGCCTGGTCATCCTCCTCCCCTCCTGCTGCGGCGTCATCTGCTGCTGCGCTCGTTCCTCCTGTTGTTGCCGCTGCTGCTGCTGCTGCTTCCCTTGCGGCTGCGGATGCTTCTCCTGCTGCTGCCACTGCTGCTGCCACCGCTCTTTCATACGCGCCAATCCTCCCTGCTTCTGCGCCTGCTGTTGTTCCGCTTCACCACACTCTTGCCATCCTTCCACGCCTTCTCTCTCCCACCCCCCACTCCCACCATCACTCTCACTTGCCTCATCCGCTTGCTCCTCAATCACAATTGAAATTTTATTCTTTCGCATGCCAAACCGGCCCGGCTCCGAGCCTGACCTTCCGAACCGGCGCTGCTTCCGAGCCTGCTGGGCCACAGGCTCGGCAACAGCAGCACTCTCAGCAGTGGCGACAGGCCCGGAAACAGGTTGGGAGAAGGGCACGCGGGCGAATTCGCAGATGGCGTTGGTGAGAGCAGCGGAGGCCGTTTGTTCTGCGAGCTGCCTAAGATCCTTCAGTGGAAGGCCGTCTCTGGGAATACTGCTGCTGCTGCTGCTGCTGCTGCTGCGGCGGCGGCAGTGCGTCCAGGCGGCATGGGCGGCGCTGATGGCGGCGATGGTGCGATGCAAGGGCGCTGGCTTCTCCCGACCCGCGATGGTGCTGGGCGGATCGACTGGGGGGGAGGGGGGAGGAGGGGGGTGGAAGAGGGGGGGAAAGGGAATAGAAGGGATACGGAGTGGGGGACAGGGGGAAGGGCAAAGGGGAACAGGAGGGATAATGGGTGAGACAACGGAAGAGGGTTGGAAAATGGGGATATCAGGGTGGGTAAGAAGGGAGAGGAGAGCCAGGGAGGAAGGCACGGGAGAGCATGCAAGGATTATAAGGGAGGTGCATGGACCAGAAGCTGAAGGGGCGAGTGATGTGACGCGTGAGGTGCAGACGTCCCTAAACACTTGCTCCACTTACACATGGTGTTGCACTTGTAATATTTGAGCCACTCCACGATTTCGCGCAGCTTCGCCTCCAACCAAACCGGGTAACCAGTTCGCGAGTCCAGCAGCGCCGCAGCCATCGGATCCAATGAGTTGACGGCCACGACCTTCCAGGAAGATTTCAGATCGGGGCTGACGACGAGGAACGCGAGCAGCGGCTTCACCGGATACACCTGCCCCACTCGAGCCTCCACGCGCCCGATTTCGATCACCTCCAACGGCGCGTGCGTGTCGCACGCCCCGTCGCACATGGTCGCGGATGTCGCCGTTTCACAGGCTGCCTTGTCGCATGCCTTATCGCACGACGTACAAGCATCGCCAGATCCAGCATGAAGAGCCGCTTCGATGTTGTCGCCTTGGCGGCAGGAGCACGTCTGAGGGATGATCCCGAGGTTCCAATCGAGATTGTGACTGTAATGAGCGGGTAACCCGTCCACCTGGCGAACGCGCAGCGGATGACACGCCTCGTTACAACCAGCCTCGATTTGGAGCCACGAGTTACGCGGCGTGCAGCAAACCATAGAAATGCTGTCTCCTGCCATAATCCCATCATCCAGGCTCCCCGCTTCAAGAGCTAATCCGCCGCCGCCGTGCGATAATGGTGCGTCAGCAGGGTGAATTGGAACGTCATTCCACGTGGAGATCGGGTGCAAGATCGTGGTGTCCCTCTGACCTCGACCAGACTGAATGATGGTAGCCGGAGAAGAGGAAGACGAAGACTTGTTGGACGCGGTAACGGCGCCGGGTGCGGTGGTGGTGGCGGAAGCGGGAGGGTCCAAGTCGGACAGGAGAAATCCCCGGTACAGCACGGATCCGGGGAGCCCAAACTCGATATAGTCACAAGCCTCCATGGCCGTGAACGACGTTGCAAGGGAAATCACGTGCTTTCGTGTTGGAGTACGAACCGGATGACTTGATACAAAGAAGCGTTTTGAGTCCACTCAAGACACACTTGTTACACAGAAACGTCGGATTCCAGAGAAGGAAGTGTGCCAGAGGGCTTGTAGTACGGCTGATGAACAGCTCGGAGTTGCATGGCTTGTCATTCACTACTAGTCGTTCTAGCCGTTATGACTGGAACTTGGGATTAATTACTAGAAGAGAGCGATCATCCGCAGCCAGTTGGAGTGATTCAAAGAACTGGAAACGGCCTCTAATGCTCTCTGTCTCCTGTGGGACCTTCTCGAACACGTCTAAACAACTTGACGATCACAGAATCGTGCACTGGTGGTGGAAGAACTGATCGTCCGCAAGAACTGATTGAAGAGAAAAACGTCGCTCCGGATTCGTCAAAAAGCCGCGCGTGCCGTGAGATGCAAGTTTGGGGCTCACCACCACCACTCGACAACCTAGTCAGGGAACCGTGACATTGAATCAGTGACGGTCAGGCTGGCGACGTTAAGTTACAGTATCGCCATGAACGGCCAGCATCTTGTCGCAATGGCGACAATCGCTGCCAGCCAGGCGACTTCACGTGTCCGCCATCGGCGAAAGACATTCGTTGCTTTGGTCGGGGTGGTGGTGTACTCTCGCTCAATTTACTCTTTCCTCACTTCCTCACTGAAAGACCGACAGTCTCCGTAAGCTCGCTCGCTTTGCTGAAACGAACGACCATCGTGCGCCACGCGGGTATGTGTGCCACTTATCGTCGCAGTCTGTTTCTAAAATCCATGACATCTGTCTTGCGACGTTCGAGGGCGAGCGATCAGCGTCGCAATGATTTGGCGCCATCGGTGAAAAAGACGGCAGGACTGATCCTGTCCCCCAAGCTGTGTCGCACGATACTGGTGGACATAACGGTAAATGGAAGGCATGGGTCCTTCGAATCGAAGTCGAAGCTACTGTACAATATCCCGACAGGTCCCATTGACTTTGAGAACATGTTCCTGAACACAGAATAATCTCCTCCATGATAGCCTCAGCTCGCCTGAAGTCGCGACTTTTGTATGTAGTGCGGAAGGGGGAGGACCATGAAAAAAAGACGGCAGCTTTGGAAGGAATTCGCCACAAACAAGCAGAGTTGTTGGATCTGCTGCTACAAGCAGAGAAGAATGACTGACAGATGAAGCAACTCCTCATCAGCAGAGGCAAGAAATTTCCAACGGCTAGTTTGAATGATCAGAAGCAGTTTCAGGCAGATCAATGAATTGTATGGTGCTGCTGATTGAACCATTCCGAACCAGAGAATAAATCAAACCAGCAGAATCTGGTCTAGACTCCACCACACACACAACAGACATCCCTAGCCTACGTTTGTTTCCCATGGCTCATAAGGCCAATGGTGTGACTCGTGAGTGGCCTAATTGTCCCAACGCTATTGGCTGAAAACACATGGCTAGTGCTGATTGACTGGTGGTCATCAAACCCCAACCCGAATCGGCCCAGTCCCGCCACGTAGGCGACATTATTTTGTCGCTGGGGGTCGAGCGGTTGTCGCTGGGGAATAGGGCTGTTCGACAGCAGCAGGGTAGAAAATCATTTCCCTGTACGAGCCTCTGCCACTGCCAAGCCCTCCCAGCCACCCGCCCAGGCACGGCAGAGCTTGACCACCGCTTCGTTTTCATGGGTACAAATCCGAACTTTGGACCAATAGTGAAGCTCGCTATTGATCGCTCAATACAGTAACAGATACATACACTGCTAGCGAATCCAACCGTTAAACGAACCTCTTTTGATTGGCCACACTTTGCCCATGTTGCTTGCGAGTCCGAGCGATAAACAACTGTACAGAGAACAGCACAGAAACTGTCACAAATGTGGCGACACCTGCCGCAGGCTAGCTGTTATGAGTTGTAAAAGAGGGTGCGCTGAATAACGAATAACAAACAAACAGGCAAACAAACAAACAATGAAGGCATGTGCTATTATAGTGGCTACCCTAGCTAAGAGGGAACCTCGGGGACCGAGGTTGGGTGCAGGTTTGGCGACCGAAGGGCCGAAGGCGACGCGAGGAGTCTCGGCATCGTTGATGTCGGCCGAACGTGCAGAGTCCGAAAATCGGGCTGTACGCGTAGCAATCAACCCCGATAAGGAATTCGGGAAAATTCCTTACACTAGCCGCTGCTGCAACAAACGTGACGGTTGTGGGAGTGGATCAAGGGCGCAACTCGCAATTGACAAGAACCCACTGTCGCACACCGAAGGGTACAAGTCCTAGCCAACCATCGTTTGCAAGTGAATTGGAATCAGGCCCTCAGATTCACTTTTAGGCACGTAAGGGTATCAGGGTCCCTCTGCCCCTAGACCCTGATCGTCAGGGTCGCCTAGAAAAAAAGCCTGAAAGTTCAGTGTTACTTTAAAACAAAGTCTGATGCATCGGTGTTCCCTACAGAAAAAGGCTGATAGTACTAATAGTCTTTATTTTAAGTTAAAAACACTAAGAAGGAAGCAAACAGCCTTCAATCTTTCTATCTGTGTTGTAAACCAAAGCATATGTTGCTAGCTAGCTATGCAAGGCATCAAGCATGACTCAGGGTCTGGGAGAGTTCAGCAATCATCATCAGATGATGCTTGCCTGTCATCATCATCATCTCTTCCCTTAGCCTCTCTTTCTTCCAACTCCTCCTCCTCTAGGGCCTCCTTTCCCTTGCTACCACTGCCCTCCCCCTCTCTTGCTGGTGGTGCCGCCACATTGCCGAATGGGCGGCGCTTCTTGTAGCTGCGCCAGATCTGCACCACCTCATCGTAGTTGGGCTCGTACTCGAGTAGAGACATCGTGATGAGGTCTTCGAGGCGGGCGTCCTTCAAGCTCCCCCGCTGCCATGATTTGATAACGTTCTGGCGTGAGAAGCCGCGCTCACACTCCACTGTGCTCAGCGGCAGCACGGCGACAGCCACCCAGAGACGCACCAGATTGGGGTAGCTAGTCGCCCAGTCGCTTGTCTTCAGCATTGCTGTTAGGCCGGCGTGGAAGCTGCGCTCGTTCTTCGGGGCACCTGCGAGGATGGGGCACAAGGCACGCAGCTCCTTGATCGCACGCCGCTTGTCGACCCCTGCCACATAAGGCGGAAGGGAGAGAGAGGGGGAATTAGAAAGGTTGGCATACTCGTACACCATACAGTGATAACATGCAATAACCCATCATCACGGACAGCAACAGTGCGAGAGCGGGAATACCTGGAATGGTGTAGTCCGTGTCCTGTGCCCTGAACAGCCTCACGAGATACTCGAGCCACTCGAGACACTGCCAGTGGCGCTCCGCTCTCCCCGGCTCCCACTCGTCAGGCATGAACAGCTGCACTCCCACCAGGGAGTCCAGGTCCTTGAACCGTATGCTGAGGTTTCGCACGAGCGTCTCGGCGAAGGTGGTGCAGAGATCGACGCAGGCGTCGTGGGAGCCGAGGGTCGGGTAGTCTTCGCTCGGGTTCTCGTGCAGCTGGAAGGTGTGTGTAGTGGGCCGCCCGTCCGAGTCGACTCCCTGCACCTTCACCTCGGGATTGCCCCCCTCAGGCCTGTGCTTCTTGATGAACGGGGAGAGGCGCGCGCTCACCCCGCCTCCAAAGTCGTCTCCACAGTCGACGTAGCGGGACTCGAGGAATGAAATAGACCGGCGGATCTGCCCGTGGACACTTGCAATGTCCAGCTGTTAGGGGTCAACAGGGCGAACAGAGTATGGAAGGAAGGCCAAATCAGTGCAATGCCGCTTCTAGTTAAGCAGTACATCAAACCGTGAAGCACAAACAGAAACTAGGCACACAATCCAGAGTTGATAGTAACCATGCTCACCTTACGCTGCTGGAATGCCCTGTTCAACACATTGAGCTGCTCGAGCACGTCTGCAAGGAAGTATAACAGAAAGTGAAACCTGTAGCTGGTAGCGAGCTCGTACAGGCTGCTGTCCCACTCATACAGCATCACGATCAGCGCGGGGAAGACCTCTACCGCGCGCAGAATGGCGTCACCCCGGGAGAGCCAGCGGACATCGTGGATCCCTTGTAGCTCCAGGTTAGTTCTCGTGAAGACCTCCTGCAGGCCAATAAACCGTTGATGCCACGGGCCAGAACGCCCCAAATGCTCAGCCACTTGGCGGAGCAGGGCGTCCACCATGGCGAACTCGGGGAGTGACTCAGCGGCGTCCTTTGCTGCGAGCGCCTCCCTGCATGCACAACACCAATCAAACCGGCTCAAAGAGGGATTAGCACGGGGTGCTGCAGGTACTCTAGGGATGCAGGAAACACAAGATAAAAACTGACCTGTGGGCGATGCAGTGGCTCGAAATGAGATGCGGGATGCGGAGGCGAAGTCGCGCGACCAGGTCGTTGTGTCTCCCCATCATCACACTCGCTCCGTCAGTGCTTATGCCGGATATCCTCGCCAGTTCAATGCCAAGGGCCTGCAGGTGGGACAGGAGCACTGAGAGGAGAGAGGCTGCATCGCCCTTCTCCACGGTCAGCAGGGCAAGAAACTCAGTCACGGGACGATTGTCACGGATGAATGTCGCGAAAACTATCATATGCTTTCCCCGACACCTGTCCGTGCTTTCGTCGCATGTGACGCCAAGGTATGGGCTGCTAAGGATGTGCTGCAGTTGCGTTGTGTGCAACCATGTGGCCATCGATTGTGTTAGCTGCCCGAAGCCGTATCTGCAGCGCATGTCAAACAACACAATGTCAGAGAATTCATTTGATCTTCACAAGCACGGTTGCAATTAGAGTAAACCAAAACTCACGTCGTATAATAGGTTCCGTAGCCTTTAGCGGGGAACCCTGGCACCTTAAGACGCGCGAGGTAGCGCACAAGATTCACCCATAACTCTATGGGTGCATCTTGCTTGGTCACGAAGAGCAGGGAGTCGAGGAGCTTGATGACACGCTCCTTCTCCGTGTTGCGAGCGAGATTGTCGCCGTTGATC